AAACACATACCAGAGAACGCTCACAGCTCATACTCACACATCTGCACGCAAACATGACTTTTCATTCATCGTCAGCCGCAGCCGCAGCCACAGCCACAGTTACAGCCGCACATCAACGACAAAACAAACAGTGGACGTGTGAAGATTTTTGCCGGAAACGGAATGTTTGTGAGCCACAACAAACGTTGCATACTTTTAGGGTGCGCGCGTAAAAGTTCAACTACTCTCGTTATTAGTAATTGTGGCAAAACCAAATCGAAAAAACTACACACAAACACACACTCACACAATCAAAAGCAAAATATGAAAAACACGTCGTCATGTCTGACACTCAGTAATGCCGCCTTCCACCAATTGGATTTTTGCCACGTTCTGGTTGTTGATGCATTTTCATTTATAAAATTTCCAACACACACAGACACACATACATGTATGAATTTATATGTGGTTGGTGTCTGTGTGTGTGTTCGCGCCCATTCGCTTCAAAGTCAAAACTGTTACCTTTTATATTTGACGTTTTGTACATTCATATCGTGCCGTCAGCCTCGTGGTGTGATATTGGATTCGAATGAATGGCCATTTTGTTAACTAATAAAATCAAATACGAAATGAATGAAACAAATTTGAATAATGGATACAAATACTAGAACTGATACCTCTCGCGATACCCTGATTGTCCGACATACCAATGGAGTTGTCAAATTGAAATATAATTCTATGGATTGAAAAACGGAGTTTAAATGTGAATGGATGTACACAACGGGTTTGTAACAAATCTGTAATGGTATTTTCCGATTTGGTAGGGAGATTGGTATTAAGTTGAATAGGGGAGATCTCCTTATGGTCTATGGTTATTTATGCCTATCAGAATTAGATAGCGGGATTACAAATGATGTCATTATATTTGTAACACCTCAAAATAATCATTGGAGACCTATAACATATTTAATTTCTTGGCACATTTTGATTTAATAATTTTCGTCTATAAGTTCTCTGAGACAAGGACAAGTGGTGTCATACAATCGGACCCAAAATATGATATGAATATTTCGACAGATGTGCCAAGTCCAAATGGAATCGGATGTTAATTTGGCGATTTATGAGCTTCATGGGTACTCAAAATTTCAATATTTTGTGGGGGAGGTACTTGATGGAGTGGACCGATATTGTCCATTTTCACACCTGTCGTAGCACTGACGCAAATATTAGGATTCGCAAAGTCGGAGCAAATTCGGATTAGCCTTTCTCTTTCTGTGCAAAAAATATATTTTTTGAAAATTTCGACCTTTTGTGGGGGAGGTACCAGAAGGAGTGGACCGATATTGCCCATCTCCGAACTCGATCTAAGTTTGACAAAAATATTACGTTGTAGCTAATTTGGACCAAATCGGATACTCCCTTCGAGAGTTATCGTGCGCACCAGCCAGACAGACAGACAGACGGACGGACATCGCTAGATCGACTCCAAATGTTCTGAAACGGATTTGGTCCAAAGAGACCTAGGGTATAAAACCGTTATTTCCACTAGGCACGTTTTGGCCGTATCAAATGATACATACCCTCTGTAGCCATATGGCTGAGGGTATAAAAATAATAGGTTAATATACGGATTTATTAGCACGCACGATTGCCAGAAATTGGTTAGAAATTTCACTATTTGACATATTCATGAGTATTTATTTATTTCTGTACATAGTTGTGGAGAAATACCTGAAAGAGTATGAGTTATGACCTTTTAAAAGTTTAACCCTTTGTTGGCAATGGACATGGTGGAGAGGGCCGATATTGCTACACCTGTCCTAAGCCTGATGCAAATATATCACACCTTTCTGCGAGGCCTAATGTAGGCAAAATATTGAAATGTGCGACGTTTAAAGAAAGTCGGACATTGATTTCAAAATTTTTGTAAGAGTTATCAATATTCAAAATGTTGATTTCTTGTCGGAAAGATACGAAGAATATGGAACATTTTTGATTTTCATAGTTTGGAAAATTTTTAACTTTTGTTTTTGTTTTGCTTGACACTTGCTCTAATATTGTAATGTGTAAATTTAATGATAATAGTACACTGCTCATTCATTATCGTAGCATTCTTCTGTACTATGTGCCATAGAAAAGAGGAAGTTGAAGTGATCTAACAACCCCACAAATTCATTGCAGCGTCTGCATATTAATGTACAAAATACAGGGTGAGATAAAAAAACTGCAATAAAGTCAAACGCCATAATTTTTATTTCTGTTTTTAATTTTATTGAATGAATGCAAAACATGTCGGAGATAACATCAAATTAAGAATTAGTTTAGATTTGTTCGAATTGGTCACCTTTGGCACGAATTAAGGTCTTCAAATCACCAATGAAACCGTTACAGGCTGGGCGAATGTTGCTCTGCAGTATTTTGGCCCATACCCGGCGAAGCGCTCGCTTGAGGTGACCGACACTTTGGTATGTTTTAGTGCAAACCTTGCTTTCCAAAATACTCCTGACACAATAGTCCAACGGATTGGTATCCGGAGATTTTAGTGGCACTTGAGTTCTGGTGACCAACCGAAGGTGTACATTTTCAGCTAACCTCTTTGGCAAGAAAACACGATCATTTCGTTTGTTTACAAACTGCTGGACAACGAATGTTTTCTCATCGGAAAAAACCAATTTCGGCAGTTCACCATCTTTGCCAAGCGAATCAACTCGTTAGCTCTCTTGAGTTTATTTTCTTTCCTTTGCGGTGTAAGTTCATGCACTTTTTGTAATATTAATGGCTTTACTCCGAGCTCATTTTGCAATATTTGCCGAATGGAATATTGCGATATCTTCAGCACACGAGCTTTTTTCAGCCACTGCGATGCGGGTTTCGATCAAGTCGCTTCTTTACTTTTCGAACTATTTTTGCTGATGTTGCTGTTTTCTTCCGTCCACTTCCTTGACGTTGGGCTACACTACCAATATCACAGTAACGAGCGATGGTACGAGACACAAATGTCTAAAAAAGACAGCAGTCTGAAGTTAGTTGCAGTTTTTTTTTATCTCACCCTGTAATTACTTCGTATTTCTACAGTCTGGTGGAGATAATTTTAGGAATATGTTTAAAGTTCTGAGAATAATTCACGATTTAATATACCACAAATTGGCTTTTTTATTTTTTCAGTCAAAGACATATTATCCGTGTCCCAATTGGTTAGACTACGCTGGACGGTGGCAGCTGTGATCAACTATTACATATTTGGCTGACCTAAGTTGTACATCCCAAAATGAAAAGCGTTAAAATTATACACAAATTAGCATTCTTGAGAATTATAAAACCATTGAATATTCCTAGCAAAGTGTACTGAAAAACAAACCCCCCCCCCCCCCCCAAAAAAAAAATCGGTTGTTACCAGCATTATAAAACAATCGGAATAGAAGATTATGTACCTAAATATAAAATGTTAAATTCAGCTCCTTAAAAAGTCGTTAAAATGATTTGCAAATACATACATACATACCTATATATGTTAATGTAATGTATTTTTGTGTTACTTTGATTCCCTGGCCCGTAGAAATAATATCAATTGGGATTGTTAAAAGAGAAAACAAGGACGAATATTTACAAAAACCCGCAGAATTACTGCTAAGGGTATCACAGAACAACATTCGCTCAGCACACACACACATACATTCATACGTTGCGGACGCGAATTGCATATTCGAGGGTGTTGCCATGGGGTTGTCAGAATGTCGATTCGCCAGTGCAAACAGCAAAACAAACTGACTGTTGGCAAAAGTGTCATGTGAAAATAAATGTGAAATGTAAAATGCCTTCAGACTCGAAGTCAGCGGCATGCCATCATAACATACAAATGGAATTGGAGAATATACATACACACATACATACATATATACCATCAGCCAGCCCACACAGACTTCTGACATACCTTCGGGGGCCTTCGAAAATAAAATAAAATCCGTCGCGGCATATTTCGATTTTGTTTTGTCGGATGAACATATTTGGTATTTGAGGGCATTTATATGTATGTGTGTGTGTATTTTTTATGTTTCACAGATATATTCCATCGTATATTAAAATAAAAAAACAATACATATTACTACATAAATACATATACAAAAAATACTTGTGGTATGACTGGTTGTTGCATGTGAACACACACGCCGCCACACCACATTCCGAAATAATCTCGTGGGGAATATTATCGAGGGCTTTCTTGCGAATATTCAAAACTGGCGGTGCTTGCATGCAGAGCTGTCACCACGCCGCGTCACAACGGCAACGGAAGGGATAAGAAACAGGGTTTGTTTTGAAACACAAGCGATTTTGTGACTTCTTGTTCTAGGATTTCTTCTCATTTTTTTGCTTTGTTTTTTAATATCGCTGAGCAAAAATTGTTTCATAAATACTGTTTAGTATGCAGAACTTCGTTTTTTTTTTTTTGTTTGTCAGTGTCCCCTGGTACATGAAATTTTAGTTACATGTCTGTCATTCTTTCAAATAATACTTAAAAGCAAATTTGTAAACATGTGGAGTCATTCATCATCGTCATCAACATCATCGTCATCATCTGTATATGGGTGGATGTTATGGTGTCTTTCCGCAAGTGAACATGAGAGCTCTACAGTTGGCTGAGCAACACACACACATAGACACACACCCATAGAATCAAATATTTTCCTGTATTTCTGTTTGCCAACATTCGCGAAAAACGTCAGGAAAACTACACAAAATATCAAATTGATTTCATAATTCGTTTGTTACATTGAATGCTTTAAAGAATCCAATTCCAACGGTTTTTTATTCCATTAGCTAACTCGGATGGGAACAGAGTAGGGACAGTCGTATCATTCATAATCCATGACAGTGCCAATCATATTTGAATTGAACCGGAAATTGTGAATTATCGAGAGTATTACGATGACGATGACGTTTATTTACGGGGAGGAAATAGGTTGCCAACTAACACCATCACATATGTTGTCTCCCATTCGAACATGGCTATAAATTTCACTTACCTGACATCTGGATGTGCATCGAGCATAGCTCTCATTAGCGTTGTCCCTGATCTGGGTACACCACCAATGAATATTAATGGCATGTCTCTGCTGTACGAATAGACTTTTTGGCTGTCGCCTTCGACATATTTCTGTAATAAAAGGAAAAAAAGGAAAATATGAAAACGTTATGAGAAGCAACGAGCTACAATCACATAAAAACTCGAATACTTTGCGGACCGACGAAGGGTATTGAATAAACTTTTTCTCCTCGGTTTTATTCTGACAACCTTTAAAGGCAATTTTAATGGTGGCTGTATTCTTATTTACAAATATAATCTCTTAGAGCCTATATTACTTTAGCAAACCACTAAATCCTCCAGGTCAATATTGGTGTTCATGGAAAGTCATAGTCAGAATATTTTGTTAATTTCATAATTATACCATATGGCTACTTATACCCTCAGCCATATGGCTAGGGAAGATATATATAATTTAATACGGCCAAAACGTGTATCATAGACCCTAGGCCTATTTGCAGCGAATCTGTTTCAGGACATTTGGAGTAGATCTAGCGATGTCCGTCCTTCGTCTGCCTGGTTGGTGCGCAAGATAACTCTCGAAGGGAATATCCGATTTGGTCCAAAGCTAGTACATCGTAATATTATTATCAAACTTAGATCGAGTTCGGAGACGGGCGATATCAGTCAACTCCATCTGGTACCTCTCCCACAAAAGGTCGACATTCAAAACAATATTTTACTGCACAGAAAGAGAAAGAATAATACGATTTTGGTTCAACTTTGCAAATCCTAATATTTACACCAGTGCAAGGTGCGTTAATGTACAATATAGGTCCACTCAATCAAGTATCTCCTCCTCAAAATTTTGAATAATTATATCTATTATAAAATGTGACTGTCTTCAAATTACACACACCATCATATTTTTATTAACCCAAGGTGTGTGGTGTGAAAATTCTTCTTCTGGTACTCCCCCACAAAGAGTCAAAATATTTAATTTTCATGAATCTCATAAAAAGCGAAATTAACATCCGATTCCATTCAGACTTGACACATCTCAATATTTCCATCAACACAAAATCGGACCATTTCTTCTGGTACCTTCAAGATTGTGAAAAACCAAACGCTCTCTTCAAATTTCACACAAATGAAAATTTTGCTAACACAAGATCTCTTGTGAAGATGATATATATCTGCGAACCCCTTCTAACACCTCACCCAAAAAGGGTAACAATTTTCAATTCATTACAACTTGTTATACCTAAATATTTTTCTCTATCAGAAATCCCATATGAATATGGACTTTTATTAAAATTAATGGTTTCGCATAAAATGGGATATAAATGTTCGATTAATTAATCATTTGAAAACAAATCAATCAGCATTTCTTTAAACATCATATGTCTAAATACGTCTGCCAACCTTAGATGTTCTGCCAATATAGAAGCCCACTCCTTTTCTATCGATCTTTATGATTTTGTTAGTTTTTGTGAACTTTTAGCGATAATTAATTGTGAACTTTTAGCGATACCACTCACGTAGGTGCCTTAATTTAACATAAGAATTCGAGTACAATTTTTTCATGAAAAATGTTTTATTTTGAATTGCCAATTCTAAAATACATTCGTAAAGGTCAGAGACAGGCCATTAACAAAGCCAAGACTAATTTCTTTTAAGGTGGACACGAATGAAGCCTTTCGATTGCCAAAGCTTTGGTAATGGTGCAAATTGAAATTATTTGATGTTGTTATTTTGAACAAAACCATCACTTGTGTTATAAATATTTCAATCGGATTTTGAAGACCTCTATCCTTTCTGAGAGATTTTATTATTTGTTTGTTTTTAGATAGTTGAAGTACGTGTTTAGGATCTCAAATATGTTATATTTAAATGGAAAAACATCTAAATACCAAGCTAGGTTCCAATCGGGTAAAAATCACAAGTAAAAATCCTATGTCTATCCTCATATTATGTAGCTGAGATTAGGGTCAATCTACTTTGTACTTACTTGTACATTGACAAGTCCAAAATCGCCGGGAAAACTGTTAGAAGGGCTTAAACAAATAATCTCCAATTTGAAACGATAAGACGAACGCGGTGAATCGCCAATATCTAAACTTGGATGACATCAGAATCAAATTAATGTTTACTAAAGTGACATTTTTGGCGACACATCTTTTTTGGCATTTCGCAAGCTCTCCTTCTTTTCTCATTCCTCTTAGGAAGAGCCACATCCATTCCACCCAACTCCATCCATTTTTGCCTTAAAATGGAATTTAAACTTCAAGTGGAAATATTAAAAGATATCTGACATTAGGAAACAAAATAGTGTCACAGCAAGGTGACCGACTAGCAGCAGTCAGTGCAAGACAAACAAAAAGTGAAGTTAAAGCAAAGAGACGTTAACACAAGCACTTCAGTGGCATCTTCCCCCTTCCCCCTTTCCTTCCAGACTCTATGTGCAACAAATTGAATCTCAGTCAGCCACTAGTCCACCACATAGCGCACCCTTGACGCTCCATGAATTTTCAACAGGGAAATGCGATTTCTTTTTTTTTTAAGGCACACTTACATATCCACACACACACATTCCTATCCTTGGAAGACTTGCTGTAGAAATCTTTGGTATTTCCAGATTTACTTTTTTCCCAACTCCCCAAGCACCACTTTATTCTGTAGAATACTAACACTACTCGACTACTTAAATTGGGTAATGTTTGGCGATGCGACTCAGTAGAGTGGCAGGGTACAAAGGTCGGCAAGCAGCAAGGTAACCTTAGATGGATAATCCTCTAGAAGCTGCACAACTACGCAACGGCCAATGGGCAGGGAAGTCAAGAAACATTCACACACACACACAGACAAACACAACGAAACGTTTAATTTGATGTTTTGTCAAATTGCTTTGTGGGAACCATCAAGTCGTAGGACAAGCAGCTCGGTGGACAAATTTAATCAAAAAGTGTCATATGATGATTTTGTGTGGCTCTCTTTTGCTTCAGTTCCTACGAAGAGGAGTTCGTAATGCAGCTAACGTTAAGATGATTGCCTGTGTTTTTCTCTTACAAGACAGCTATGCTCAGGAAAGTACCCGCTTCTACACCGAAATCCTATGGCGTTTGCACAAGTAAATGCTAATGTAATGCCTGAGCGTATCTGAATTACGGATTAGAAATGCAAGAGAATTTAACCAAAGTGAAGGAAGTGTCTAAAGATTATGAGGGACAAAGGCAATTTTGCTTAAAAGCACAGATGATAATTTAAATAGGATGAATTCGGATAACAACTCTGAAGATCGGATTGGATTCATGCAAAATCACCGGGGAACAGGCTAGTTAAAAAAAGTATTTATTAATTTTTAATATACGAATTGGAATTCAAAGGTCTACATAGACACCGTCCACAGTCCCCACAGAGTATATATATTTTTGATCAGCATAAAATTCTATGTAGATTTAGCGAAGTCCGTCTGTGGAAATCACTCTAGCTTCCGAACGAATTGTAGTAGATTGACAAAATTTTACTCAAATATATATTATGTCTGCAGGACTTTTGGTATTGAAAATGGCCCATGTAGGTCCACGTTTTGATATAGCCCCCATATAACGGTAAACCCCGATATTCGGTATTTTGATGATTTTAGCGACATTATTCACCGGAATTCTTTCAAATTTGGTATTTGAAGTTCGTAATGGATACTACGGCCTAAGACAGAAAATTTTCAGTGCAGGTCCACGTCTTCGCATAGCCCCATATAACGGTACCTCCCGATATTCGGTATTTTGATGATTTTAGCTACGTTATTCACAGATTTTTTTTAAGTTTCGCATTTGAATATTGTAATGGCTTATGACAAAAGTTACCTATACAGGTCCATGTCACCGTATAGACACTAATGTAACAGCTACATTCGGTTTTTTTAAGATTTTAACAGAATTTTTAATGGATTTTATTGTTTTTAAAAACTGCCAAATTCGTTCCATATGGTGGAGGGTATTTAAAGTTCCGGCCGAACTTACAGCTTTTTTGCTTGTTTTTTTTTAATATTTGGTGAGTTTTTTGATATCTGCCATATTTGCAGAAGATTAAAATTATTATATGAAAAAAATAAAATTTATTTCGAACTGATGAATTACAGAAGAAGAGACAAGAGATCTAAAGCTGGGAATAGTTCCTTATAACTTCGGTACTCTCGGCAAAGTTAATTTGGTACGTACGAGTCACATTTGCGTTAATCACCCTCGTCCTTTTTTTTCTTGAACGCTGCCCCCATACAATACATTTATAACTCCAAGGTCTCGGATCTGTACTGATGTACTGTTTTGTGCCCTAAATCACCCTAATCATGACATTACTGCGATTAATGTAATTTACTATTTCATTGACTTTACTTCATATTCTGACGTGGACTGCTATTATATTTCAGTTTTTGGTAAAGTTGCGCACCCCACACACACACGACGAAGACACAGTGGGGTATACATTGGCGCTGTAAATGGAAATGTGACTGTACTTCTCCCAATCATCAAATTTTTCCTTGCGATGAAGGCGACTATAAAAAACCGAGCGTGGTAAATTTTTTGAAGTTGCCATCAATCCTTCCAAATTAGAGAATAATTAATCCAAAAGGGCTTACAAATTTCAAATAGCGATACAGAGTCGACTTGAATTTAATTTGGATATGTGATTATGTTCAAATGTGGAAGAGATTTATATGGACTGATTCTTTTGCTACACTTTAAAGTTGTTTCATAGTGATTTGATGCCCGTGAACATACATTTTCAAATATAACAGCAAAGGCATAAATCACTTGCACTTTGTGTTTTTGCACAAGGGGTTAATTAAAAATACTATTTTTAATTATAATGATTTTTACTTTTATTTTGATAAATCAAAAACAAATCTAAATTAATTTTACAGGAAAAAGAGACAAAAAAAATTAATACTCTCCACCTTTGGGCAAAGAAAATATTTTTTATCAAAAATGTTGAATTCAGCGTGTTCCAGTTTAAACTTCATATACCAGGTAGACCGTTTAGATAATGTTATATGGGGCCATACCAAAACGGGTGCCTATAGATCACTTTATATTACAAAAACTGTTATCTATTACGAGTCTTAAATGCCAAATTTGAAAAAATCTTGGATAAATGTAACTAGGATAACATGGACCTATATGAAAACATGGACCTAATGGCAACAATAATTAAAAACCCAATATCGAGAGGTACTGTTAAATGGTGGCTATACGAAAATGTAGACCTATACATACAATGTTCCGCCGTCGCTGCTAGAACCCATTATGACCTAGCAATACAAATTTTATAGAAATCCGTGAAAAATTGTGGCGAAAATCCAAATACCGAATATCGGGAGGGAGGTACCGTGGCCTAATATATTTCATTGTCAATACCAACCAACCTAGGCAAAACACAAATTGTTGTGAAGAATTGCTCTACGTCAACTATTGTGGCCTATATCGTGATTTAAAATCGACTTAGAATATTAAGCTTATCATGAATATATACTGGGTGAGATGAAAATACTGCAATCAACTTCAGACTGCATTTCTAAGCCACTCGTCCGACAGCTGTTAAATTTATTCAAGTGACAGCTCATCATATTGTTTACAAGCGTACAACACCATTTTCTTGAGAACTTTTCAGATTTCGTAATAGTGTGATTTCTTTATATTTGGCTGAAAAACCACAAGTGGCTATCGCTAGAGCACTCCAGCATTTAAATGTGAATAAATCTTTTGTATCTCGTACCATCGCTCGTGCAAGAATTTACACCGCAACAGAAAGAAAATAGACTCAAAAGAGCAAAGAGTTGATTCACTTGGCCGTAAGTGGTGAACTGCCGAATTTGGTTTTCTCCGATGAGAAAATACCAAAACTCAAGCGCCGGCCATGGTGATGGTGTGGGCCGCCATATCAGCCGATGGTCTCTCTCCGTTCGTACTAATCGACAATGGCACCAGAATAAATGCCAAATATTATCGCGAAAATATTTGCACTAAAAAATACCAAAGTGTCGACCACTTCGAGAATGGGCCCAAATACCGCAGAGCAAGTGCTGAAAGGTCTCCAGGAGTTCTTTCTGAGCAAAAAATCGACTATCTGATATCATTTGGGAATATAAGGCGTACACATTCAGAAAGTATTCTGCGAGACCTTTCGTTTTAGCCCCGCCCCAATAACGCAGCTATGGTAGTTTTTGTGCGATTTATTTTCCATGCAGTCTCCCCACTTTGGTTATTCGTCAACGTCGGGAAATTGTGTTATTTTCCGGTAAAATTAAGCTACGAGAATTGTTTTAGTCTTAATACTTGTTGATTTATCCAGAAAAGTAAAACTCATTAAAATTAAAAAAAAAAACATTTTTCAATTCACCACTTGTGCACCAATACAAAATGCAGAATGCAAATCAACACTGTCATAAGTTTTGAGTTTTTAAATTAGCAAGCTGTGCTGAACTAACTCTATAATTATTTGTATTTCAGACTCTATTGACTGTTGACTAAATGATTGAGGACTTATATACTATTTCCATCCATTCCATTCGGGAGGAATTCTATTCCATCACTAGAAAGGGGACAAAATCCCCCCGTATTTTTCAAAATCCAAAGCGCTATTGCTTTATACTGTCAGATGCTTTATCCTAGATTCACAAGGAGTTTACCTCGTCTCTAAAACTACTCGCTTCGAATAGCATCGCTACTGAAATAACAAATAAATACACAAACGTCATATAAAATAAACATAATGAGATTACAGCTGAAGCACCACTTACCGCATCTCCTCTCATCATGGCCGATGACTGTTGCCCGGACAGACCAGAGCCAGGTACTGCTTCATCTCTGAAGAAACAGATGGGACGTAATTCCGTAAATTTGAATAGAAACATTGTGACAACGACAATTCCAAGCATGACCCACAGGGTCGTCTTCTTATTACGATAAGGCAGGCGCATGATTATTTATTTTGTTTGTAGGTGTGGGTGTGTGTGTCTTGGGTCGGTGTATGTTGTTGGCGCGTGGTTGGCGTTTACTTTTCCGCAAGCCACAAATCAAAACTACACTCTGGTTAAGGTGGCCGGCCGGCGTTAACACTACGAACTACAACTATAACTAGGCTTTGTACATTTAGCTATGATAGCAACAACAACAATAACGATATCGCTTGAAATGGTAGCAACAGCATCAGCGGCGATGGCAACAACATGGATTATATGAAAGCGGCTAGGTCGTCACAATGTTGATAATGCAATAATTTTCAATGCTTTAATTCAATTTCAGATGCTGCGGATGGATGGTTGATGGTGATGCCCTTTTTTCGGCATCGATTTAATGTTCGCAACACTAATGTTGTAATGTCAATAGAATACGTTCTTCAAGGACAAGCCACAACATGCCATATATCATTTACAAATTCCCTGAAGTCGTTTGCAGAACGGAGATTCACAACGCTTTACTAGCTTCTTACAAATTCGATGAAAATGTTTTCGATATCTTCTTGGGGGATTTAGGGAATGATTATGGCGTAAAATTGTTAATGGAAGTGGTGAAACAGAGTTCCTTACAGGTCCTGTGGTGTCTTGATGCGGTCGGGATTTCGAATAGTTTTTGTTGAGTTAATTTCCAATTTATTTCAGGGAATCTGAAGAGAGAGAGAAAAAAATTTATATTAAAGGTATATGGCTCAAAATGAAATATATTATTATTAGTTTTGTTTCAAATTTCAAGCAACACAGCTCAGTATTCAGGAATAATTAGATGAAAAACAAGACCTGCTGTTTACTTTTAAGAGGATCTGTCTAAAAAGACCTTCGTTCCCTTTAAATTGATTTGTAATGTGATGATGAGGTACTTTGGGGCTTCCAACAAGAAGGGTAAAATCACTAAAAAAGGCAGATTTATTAAAAATATGACATTCGTTATTTGGAATAACTATTTTTACATGATTGTTGAACACAACGCAATTCTACCAAAGACCTAAAATGGTAAAGACTAGACAAAATGCATTCTGAGCAAATGGTTTGTGTCTATACTGTCTGGGTAACAGCTTATGGCAGGACCATGTTAATATAAAAAAATATATTTATAGAAAAAAATGACAAACAAAAGTTTGAAAAATCCAAAAATTGGGTTTCAAAATTCTATTCCATAGACTTTCCAAATTAATTGCATATTGCCTAAGCGGTTTAAATCGCATAACATTTCTAACTATGTTGTTACGATATCATAACTACAGAGGTATTTTCACAGGGTTGCCATATCTTGACTCTGTCTTGTCCCATCTTTATACTTCTATGTCTTTGATTCTACTTTACTAGAAACGCTTAGAGTCATTGTTTTATTTCCGTTTTACACAATATATAAATTGAACAGTTTTTAACATTTTTAAAGAAAATTGAATTTTTTATTGTTTGAGGTGTAATAGTTTTGTATCCAATATTACCCACCAAATAACAACAACAGATTAATAAAAATAAGAGAGTTTTCTGTCTAAAGCATAGTCATGGTTTTCGACGAAAACAACATTTTTTTTTCTTAAAATAAAAAAATTTTCATTTAATAAAATTAAAAAATATTATATGAACATAAAAAAGGGAATATATATTTTTTTTTTCAATTAACCGTTGTTTTTGAGAGTCTAACCACAAAAGGCGCTAAAGGGGGACTAAGTGGTTTTTTATTGTCAATTTGCAAAGTTGTTATCCACTAGGAAAATAAAATGTCAACTGTGTTTGTGACCTTCAAAATATCGAAATTAAGGAGATACTGTTTTGGGGGCTATATAAGATATTGATCCAAACTAGGCAATTTTTGGGTAGGGAGATTCTATCCGCTTGAAATTCTGTCCGATATTATTCATCATATTCATTCATTCAAATTTATGATTGACACATTCAAAGTACCAAAAATCAGAAAAAAAAAACCCTTAAATGGCCATCATTTTAAACATTGACAAATAATTCCCAATTTCAATTTCAAACATCCTAGGGGTAATAACAATGTCAGAGCAAAATTTCGAATTGACAAAACGCTTCCATTGCGCAATGTTTGGTGCGGTTTATGAAGCATTATTCTCGTATTTACTATTTCCAAAAAATAATGTATTTTTTAATAACTTTGGCACTCAACACTATCGGTAGTCTCACCCAATCGTGTATGACCTTATTAACTCATCGTGTTTATTGTTAAACGATTGCTGTTAAGGTTAGTATCACCAGTTTTTTAATAACTTTAAATTATTTAGAGTCACGCTTCACATCTAACTTTGGAACAGAAAAGACAATTACTTAAAGCAATAAAAATGTTGAGTGATAATCTTTACACGACCATTAAAAATATTAAAATTCTTATTTCGAAAAGAATTTTGAAAATTTGAAACTTTAGTTTCTTCGTTCCTCTCTACGCATTTTTCAAATTAAGAACCATCCACATTTCTCTCATACGGAAAATACTCGAAAAAAATACGTGCCTTTGACGCAAATTCGATAATCGCTTCCATTCGAGAAGACAAACCCCGTTTGCAGTTGACACCCAGCCCAATATATTTGGAGGAGGAGCAGTTCAATTGCGTGGTTGCGATGTCGCGGCGGTAAACAAAAAAGCCTCCTTTCTGCCCCGCCATTCAAATAGGCCAAATAGAAAAATAGCAATTTTGTTCAAAATCGAATCATTGTGAAAATTCACTGAATCGGATATAACGGTAAACAAAACAAGACTATTGATTTCATATCGGTTACCATGGAGTGCATTCACAGCAGATACTCGTCGTCGCTGGGTTTGTGGCTGGGCCTAAAAGTGGGTGGCATAGAAAGGCTGTCACACACCAGTCCAACTATCCAATCTCCAATCACCACACCACCATCCAGGCTGTTTGCCTGTCTTTCTGTCTGTCTGTCTGACTGGCATGCGGCACACATATTTGTACTTAACTATATGAAAAGTTAGGAACTATTCCGAGTAAAGTTACGCTTCAATGGACACATGTAGCCCACACTTCTTTTCTTGTGCATGAGAGGGCCAGAGCTGTGATTCGCCGGCACCGGCCTGATTGAAGTTCATGAAGTTTGTCTGGGTGGTGCTGATAGCAGTAGTAGTTGTTGTTGTTTGTGTTGGTATTCCATACAGAGTTTATTTACCTATGGTCGCAAAAATGTTGCAACTTAAATGCCCATTAAACTGTTGTAAGCAAACATGGCATGTTTACCCTCGCCCGCCGGTCTGTCCCCATTCCTCGGCACTCACACACAGACGCATAAATAGATAGTTCCAGGACTAGAATAATTTTATAAATCCCCTCATTACAACTGAAAGTTACTACTTTGGCCACAAGAAAGCTGCTGGTGTAAACGTTAGTTTTATAGGAAATCGATTTACGCAACCCATAAGATAACGACATGATACATGCTGAAGCACATGCTTTGGGTATGCAGGACCCATAACCAAAAGAGTAAATTTACTGATTATAATTTTAAATAATTAAAAATTTTGTTAGAATATGGAAAATGTTGAATGGGGAAGTGAGTCTGATGGAAAGGCTAAGCTTTTCAACATTTTTATAATCGAAAGATAGTTGGATTTTGTACGACTTTTTTCAGTTTTGAAATAATGAAAAACTTTTCTTTTTATTTTATTTCGAATCAATTTCCAAATGTTAAGAAATGTACGGACATTCTGAAACAAAAAAAAATAGTCACGTCGAGGTCATATCAGAAATGACTTCAAGATCTATGAATGAGGCCAATCTCAGACTTTTTTAAACATCTGCTTTTCACTCTAAAAGATATTACAAAAACTTTTTAAACTACAAACGGAAAATTCTCAACAAATCAGACAATTGTACGACTTCGTGGCTTATTTATGTTTCCCTTTCTAAAGAAGAAAATTTAAAATAAACTGTTAATAAGATAAAATGTTTTACCACATTGTGAATGGAATGATCTGTGAATTTTCCATAAATTCCATAAAGAAAATGTATTTCATAAGAAACTCGAGACATGAAGTGATATACCGGGTGAGATAAGTTGGCAAGTAAACACGATCATTTTGTTTGTTTACAAACTGCTGGACAACGAATGTTTTCTCATCGAAGAAAACTAAATTCGGCAGTTCACCACTTTCGGCCAAACGAATTAATTTTTTCTGGAAAATGTTTACCAAAATGCTTTTGTAGGCTTGTAAACAATATATGAGGTTTTAATGGAATAATATTGACAGCTGTCGGACGAGTGGCGTAGAAATAACTGAAGTTGGTTGCAGTTTTTTCATCTCACCCTGTTATAGTTACATAGTAGACCCAGAAAAGAGCATAATGGAGTTCATTATCTAACATTTCTAGCCTAAAAGAAATGTAAAATGTTCGTAATATTTTGTTTCAGTGTGAGTCGATTTAATATCATTGGGGCTATAAGGGGGTTAAGCCAAAACACGGTTCAAATTATGGCCTGCTTTAGCTTTACCAGTTGAGCTGAAAAGATAATATCTAGAAAAAAACTGGAAAATGCTATAAATACTTTTTTTTACAAAAGTAATACTTTATTTCTTATAGAGAATGATCTGTCTGCGTGATTTACTACTTGTTTTTCGAAAAAGAATATCGAGTCCCTCTGCCTTCATAATGGCAATACTCATCCTTAGTTACTTATCACTGCCTAACCAAGAAATTGCATGGTTTTTATAACTAATAACACTCAAAATAAGGATGGGAATAAATAACTTAGGCTTGGCAGCGAATGGGTTAAAAGACTTGCAAGCCGAATTTTCGATCATATTTCTTTTAAAAATTTAAAACTTTTTTTGTTATTTTATTGAGTCTGCAAACAATCACTGATGTTTATTACAAACTTCTTTAATTTCTCCCATTTTCGACATGCCTCGATTTGGGTCCCACTTGAATGAGTCCTTTACCGTCTGAGTAGCAAGGCTTTTGATGTGCTTCCTCTTCTTTACAATTCTAAAATGTCTTAATGAGTTGAAGTTGTGTTTTCTTCTCGTTTGCATAACTTAATTTAGATTTTGAATTTTCACGACTAAACTGATTAACATTTAATTTTATTTATTTATTTAAAGATTCATATACAGCTATACAGCCGTCTCAAGGGCCAAGTAATCAAATATGATGTTAAAAGTGAAAAAAAATTATTTAAAATATAACAAATTCAATTTAACATAATTTCAGGAGTAAGTGCGATGTTAATGTCATATGAGTAATTAACATCGCACTTACTCCTGAAATTATGTTAAATTGAATTTGTTATGTTTTAAATAATTTTTTTTCGCTTTTAACATCATATATGATTACTTGGCCCTTGAGACGGCTGTATTGCTGTATATGAATCTTTAAATAAATAAATAAAATTAAATGTTAATCAGTTTAGTCGTGAAAATTCAAAATCTAAATTAAGTTATGCAAACGAGAAGAAAACACAACTTCAACTCATTAAGACATTTTAGAATTGTAAAGAAGAGGAAGCACATCAAAAGCCTTGCTACTCAGACGGTAAAGGACTCATTCAAGTGGGACCCAAATCGAGGCATGTCGAAAATGGGAGAAATTAAAGAAGTTTGTAATAAACATCAGTGTCATTTTTTTATCCAAAAGGTTATTAGCTATATTCTGATACAGCAACATGATAGAGAACCAAA